TAATGAAAAGGGTGTTTCCTAAAGCCAGGTGACTAGACTACATTGTTTGGAATCAGACAATTATTACACACAGCCTTTCAAGGATTGACTGCTCCCAAGGGAGCAAAAGAAGAGGAAAGATACAAGAAACAACAGGAGAACACTCCTAATACTATTTAAGATAAAGCAGGTAATTGCTTTTTTTTTTTGCAAAAGGCATGTATAATACTTTGTTTGTACTCAAGCACTGCTTATGTGACCCTGTCCAAACACTAGCAGAAGGAAACACCTAGATTCCTCAAGCACGATGTTCTTTCTGCAGAGAGCACAATCCTTGTAGCACTACAGAGGTAAAATGGTCATTGGCATCATGGTGCCGCAGTAATGGGACAAACAGCACCAGGTAGAAATTCCTTCCATGCCTTTCTCAAAAGTTACTGTATTTACAACCGAATACAGTCCCCGATTATTCTGTTTGTTTACCCTTTATTTCCAAACTTTACTTGCTGTAGGGGCTGTTCCCCAATGCTATTTCTTAAGATAGTTTCCTCCGTACTTTTTCATCAGCTGTTTTTTAACCCACTTTTCATCTTAGGCCTTTAGCTACTCTGCCTCCTGGAATATCCTCTCCCAGAGCATTCCCATCCTTTTTTACCAAAGGTCTGTGAGGAGATTCTTTGCAGCCAAAAAGGGTTTTTACTTCAGCTCGGCAGCAGATGTTTGAGAAGACAGAATTATTGAACTTTCTTCCTGCATAAAGAAATGTCAGTTGTATCCATCAAATAAGACTGCTCTGAAATTCACCCACAATTTTTACGACTAGTTGTGAACACAATGCAAACCAATCTGTTTCTTTTATGTACTGTTTCCACTTACACCTCCCATTGTAATTCCATCGATAAGTGCCACGTATGGTTTCTGGAAGGTACCTGTCAGAAATGATACAACACATTAACTTACTTAAAATATTAGAATACACCCTTCTCTACAGGAAGACATCTTTAAATCTTTATAATATGAATAAAATGTTCAGAGGGGTAAGTTATGAGATTTCAGTCCTTTTTCATCATTAAGAGCATTCTTAAATATTTAAAACATATTTTTATATTTAAGATGCTTTCTTTCCCATTCCTAAGGTTGTTTTGGGGAAGAAAATCACTTGTTCATTTAACTTGACCACAATAGTCATCCTATCTGGTAAAACATAGCAGAGAAGTAAAAACAGGGCAGAATTTTTTTAAAAAAAGAAAAGCTGGCAGTACCAGAACTAATAATCGGATTAAGACCGGTAGAGATGGAACACAAGAGACTGATATTTTTTCACTGTCAAAAGAACAACATATTAAATGTCAGATAAGTCTCACTAAGGAGGCCATTCTGTACTCAGATTATTACATCTTAAATTTGGAGACACTGTACTTAGAATAACTTAAGAAAAAAATTAAACAATTTAAGAATGAAATTGGTTTAAATATTCCACTTTTAATGATTTTATTAGTTTTATTTATATGCTATACACTATAACAATGAAGTGGAAACACACTTAGCAGGAACTGCAAGTAAACACACCTCCCTACTAAGCATATATTCAAATAACATAGATTTTGCAAATGAGGGTTTATAGCACTCACTCTTTATCTTTTGGGGTATGACATTAAAATGACCTAATAATATAAATGCCCTAATTTTAAAACCCTTTCATGAAGTTTCACTCTCCTCTGCTATGTTCCTTTAAATAACCAATAGCTTTCATTCCTAAACATGGAAAGGACTTCCCCATCAAAGATACAAGACAGAACAGCTTTAATGATGACATAATAAATATTTATTATTCCAAAACAAAAGTTTCACTGCTGAGATGAAGTTAAATTAAGTTATGATGGGGATACTATTTCTATTATTGCCTATTAAACTATTTTAAACTCTGACTAGGGCTAAATATAGTGAACTGGTATCAACCTACTAATATGGAAATCCAGGCCCTCTCACATCCAAAACACTATTATGTACTTTGTTCTAATTAATTAGTACACACACCAATGGCATTGTTCAAGATGTATTCTTCTCTGTAGAAGTCCTTCGTTAATCTGCTTCCACTTTTTTTTGCTTCAGTGATAGCTAAAAAACAAAACAAATGTCAAACTTAATGACTACAACATTTAACATCCTGAAATATTCAGCAATCTGATTCTACTTGACAAGTTCATCATGAACATCACATTATATATAATGCAGTAAACTAAGCCTCCAATTTTCACAAACAGTCTTCAAAAAAAATTGTGGAATAATTTGAGAATAAGCAAAATCCAATAACAACCAAAGAGACGCAGGGGTTAGAGCATTAAATTACACCTAGGGAAACTGAATTCAAATCCCCCTTCAGTCCTGAAGTTTATATAAGTTTGGAGTATTCACTCTCTCTGTTGGCCTATTCAACTTCACAAGTTGTTGTAAGGATAAAGTAGGGGAACATTCAGCATGTATACTGAATCATCTCTGCACAGGAAAGATGTCATATACAAACTAATAAATGCAAGGGAGTAGATACTGAAAAGAGCCTATAAAAGGTAATGAGCAGAAGATGGTTTCCTTATCCTTCCTTTCCCTCTGGCTTCCTCAACTCCTCTCACAAGAGTTAGAGAATCCTGCTGACTATGGTGGGCTAGGATAGAGAGTGGATCACCAAAAATCAAATGGAGGCCTGAGGAAATGGCTTTCCATGAGCTCCTCCCAGGTTCAGAGATAAGGAGTTCAGGTCAATAGGCCATCCTGGCGTTAGTACTGAATGTGGAGCAATATTTTATTTATTTTATTTATTTTATTTATTTATTAAATTTCTCTCCACCCATCTCCCCCCAGTGGGGGATTCTGGGTGGCTCACACAAAGCATTAAAACAATAAATATATATAAATACATAAAACATAAAAAATTTATACAACATTACCAAAAAAGGAGAAAGTCCAAGAAAATGATGGATCTGGGGCTGAAGACAGCAGGCCTCTATGCAGCTAGCCATTCCCACACTTGATGTATTCCCTCCTTGATGTATGACATTTCTTTCTTTCAAAACCAAGGAGGAAGCCCTGAACTTTGTAAAAATGTTCACATTCTCACCTCTTATATCACCCCCTGCACAGAATGCTTTTTCACCAGCTCCCTTTATTACTATTAAGTAAGTCTCAGGATCCTGTTCCCACTTCTGAAAGAAATAGTGGAAACGGTTATGTCAGAGCATCAGAAGTTTTTAAATACGCTGCCCCTTTTCTTTCCAATTATGCAACACATGTAAAAGTCACCTAGACCAGGGTTGGATCGTCCACAAAGAATAGAAAGTCAAAGCATTAGAACTGTTTATAGCAGGCCTCAGGAACTTTGCCTATTGTCAGCCCCACTCTGTAGACCAGACCAGGAAATCAACTCCATAGGAAGGCTAAAACTACTTCTATTGAGCTTGGCTATAACAACAGAATTTTGCAAGAATGATTGTGCTGTAGTTCCTCCCCCTTATAATCCAGCAAATCAGGGAGGTGTCTGTCTGACCCCCTTTCAAATTATATCTCGTTTCTCAGATCTTAAAAAATGTTTCAGCCCCTTTTGCTTATGTAATGATTCCTGCATCTTGCCATCAAGGCCATCTTCCTTACTCTCTACACTACCCAGACATTACTGAATTGAATTTCTTGTATTCTCAACCATTGCATTTGCTGGATGAGAAACTATAATTCAGCAATATACAGACACTCACAATTTTCTACCCTATCACACAGTCCTAGGAATGTATTCTCAAAAGTCAGTCAAGTCCCAGATAAACATGTGTAATGTTAAAGCCTCAGGAATTGAGTGTGTAAAGCTGAAATCTTATAAGCACTGCAGCTCCACTTACTGAACTATGACCAAGACACAGGATAGCCAAGGATACCCTTTTTGTTGCTGCACTTGCCTTTTGGAACACCATCCCAATTGATAGTATCTCATGTGTCTTCTGTCAACTCACTCATTAATCACTTCATTTAAAACCTCTTGGCACAGTGATAACCTTGGTTTCATATAAAGCTACCAACCTTTAACTGGGGATAGATCTGTCGAATCATGGAAATATTAAATGCATTCAGAGCCTTTGGTCTGTTCAAGGTAATAATGGCAGCGCACCCTCTTTTTTCCAACAGAACCTCAGCTGAAGAATTCATAGTCTCAGCCATACTCTGTATGAAATGACAAAGATTTTAAATAAGCTGATGCTCTAATGACAGGTTGGTTTGTGATTCTACACAATATGTAATCCTGCAGAAGGTCTTAAAAGCATAATTAGTACATACTAAAGATTGCCATTTTTAAGACAAGTACTTTCAGACAGAAAACTGCAGAAGTACTCAATATTGACTATCAGATCCTCCACCAATCTTTGAACTGAGTACCTCAGATATAGAAATCCTTCCTACATACTTTATGATACCTTTGGGTTAACCCCTTACTCTTAATTCCCTCATTGTGACATTGTCAAAAATACTCAATATATTACAGAATTTAATTTTGTCTAACATTTAATTTTGTTCCACATTTTGGTAAGTTTACAAGCCAAGGTGAAGTCACTAGGAACGTGCCAACTCTGTTTTACAGCAGCTCTATATTATGTCTTCATACATTTGGCTTTAATAAGACTGAATTGTCATTTTTATACCCCCCTCCCCCCAAAAAGCCATAATGTTGTTTAGCTATCTGAGGTTCTTCAGATTTTACTTTTACCCCTCCCTTGAAACAGAGGACTACCAGATCATAATTTTGTCAGAAACTCCCTTCAGTTTCAAAAGTAGTTTTCTTTTTGCCATAAGAGGCTGCTGTTTAAAAAACACCAATCACCAAACTTTTTTGGGGACTGAGGAATTAGTTGCCCAGTTCTTGTATTCTGGCCAATATATTTTAAATAAATATTTGTTCATCCAACTTGCAGAAATGTCCATACTCACTAAGTGTCGTAATATGATTTGCAACCTGTTGAATGGCTTCAACCTGAAACAAGAAACTCAAGGTCAGACATATCTCTGCCACAGCAAATGTAAATACATAAAGCAAATTATATATATTTTGTTAGACTTGTTTTTAGAGATATATTTCATTCCACTGAATATTTCTCAAAAAGGTAAATCCATTCTAATGCAGTTACAATTCTTCCTGTACTGTAATACTGTATAACGATTTTTTGCCCTATTGCAAGATACAAACAGTATATAACCTCAAGAATACTGGCCAGATATACAGGACTGTACATGACTTTGGTATATATTTTTGGAACTTTTTCCCCCCCTCTAAAGCCCTTTCTCCACTGATTCCCCAAAAACTCTCAAGGATTTGGGACTCTATAGAATGACATAAAACATATGGGAGATACATTTACCAATTAATTAATCCTTTTATCACTAACACAGTTTTCCACAAGCCATGCATCTTATCCAACTAGCAGCTATACACTATTCTTCCTACCTATTTTGTCTCTTAACACTATTCTAATTAACCTCTCCAGAAATTAATGCAGAAATTATTTTTGCCAACAAGAAAATATTCCTGTGAAGCAGGGCAAGCCTTCCACCATTTTTTCTCTCCACATTATCAGTCTCCTCATTATCATTGTCCTTCAGATATAAGCAATGTGCTACTCTTTATCTTAACTTCTAAACAGCTTAATGCAGGTTTATTCAGCTTATTTTGTATCAGGAAATTAACTGTCACTGCACTTGGATACAGGGCAAGCTCCAATGGTCTCGGATCAGTGCTTAATCCCGCAATTCAAATTTAGATGATAGGGCAAGTGTTTGCCCTTATTCTTCAGGCCTCTTGACAACTAGGAACGGCGGTTCAAGCTTTTATTAACATGTGCAGTGCAATGCTATGCATAAGGTAGAAGATTTTCACCGTTTTGGTGCTCAAAATCAGGATGACAGAAAGTAAGCATTTTTGCTCACTTGGAGCGCGCATCTATGAGAGACGGAGCAACTGTAATCTGTGCTAGGACGCCCAGCTGACACCGTCTCTCCGGCCTTTCCATGCTGCTATATATCCAATATAACTCCGAACTCAGTGGGACTTCTAGATAAATCCCGGGGGACAGCGCGACCGCTCAGAGTAAGCGCTGGAACCAAGAGCTGCGCTGGGCACCTGAATCACGCTGCCCCTACTCCATCCCTAAAGTCATCAGAAACTGAAGGCAGCCTTCCCCCTCAGTCGCCAGAATCTACCTGGGAAGACATTTCTGCATCACAGAGGTCACCAGAGGCCCCATCACGCCACCATCTGCACACGCCCCCAAGCACAGGGGCCGCCGGGAAGGCGCGTCCTGATGACATCATCCAAGTGCGCTGGAACGCAGGGCGCCGGCTACCGCCTAGCGCGTGTCTGGAGGGCTACTGGAAAGGAAGGGAAGGGAAGCGAAGCGGGGGACGATCTCGTGGTCTGGATCAGAAATATCTGGATTTGAATTAATCCTCCTGGAGCAGAAGTGGAAGTCTCTCAGAGAGGATAGCTGAGTCGTGTACTCCACGCTTCACGTTAAGAATGCAAGAGAGACATCCAACAATTATGCATCTCCTCCAGTATTGCAGGCTGGCCAACGTGGCGGAGAAAGCCTGCGGTCGATTTGGTTTACAGCTAAACACCCCTCCCCCATTACAAAACAATTATTCAGCTATGCTTTCAGCGGTTCAGAAAATGCATTTCAGAAAAAGACATTCTGAGTTGGGAATTGATAACTATCATTCTCAGCCCTAGGAAGAAGCAGGCAAGGGCGAACCACTTCCTAAATCTTGCCAAGAAAACTGCAGGGACTAGGCCTGGCAGTTGCCAAGAGTCAACACTGACTCGAAGGGACCCCCCCCCCCCCAAAAAAAAAGCTTTACTGTATTTGGCGGATGAAAGGGGCAGCCGCTAGGATCAGGTCACGAAACATCCAATAGAAATCTGGATCTTGCCCTTATTCCCCAGTGTTGCTTTTCCTGATCTGGAGGGACCCGCCCTGAAAAGGTCGTTGTGCCCAAGAGGAAGAGGTCCTAAAACCAGGAAGTACAGTATTGCTTTGATCTTGATTTTTGTGAATGAAATGACTTGGAAACTCATTTCAGAGTTCTCCTTTTCGGTGCTTTGGGCTGCTGTCTTGCGCGACGCCTGGTGGTAACTAACAGCTGCGCTAACCCGAGTCCTTCAGCACTTTCTTCTGCTGCAACTCCACTTTTCTTTCAGAGACAGAGGATCGTGCGCTTACCCACTGAGGCTCCCGTGGTGTGGCAATTGTCAGTTGTCATGATATCATGTAATAAAAAATAATCTAGAGTTAAGCTATGGCTGTTGTCGCTGCCCATCCCTCCACGTTCCATACTTTGAAGACACAGCAAAAAATCAACTGAAAGATTTTCTGTCCTTTCCAGGGAACGCTGTTGTGGCTGAATTTCTGCCTGTAATGCAGTTGTTATACAAAAGAAGCTAGAGTCTGTGGTGGTTAAGATGTTGGACTAGGATTGTGGAAACTCAGGTTCACATTTACCCTCAGCTATGGAAACACATTGGGTCAGCCACAGCCCATTCTTACCTCACAGGGTAACTGTAGGGATTAAATGAAGGGAGATCCCTGTTTAAGCTACTTTGAATTCCTGGAATAAAACTGGAAATAACAGCAACAACAACACATACATAGTAACTTACTTGGGGGTGATAAATTTGATTCATCTAAAATGCACTTCATACGGAGTTTTGCAATATTAATAAATATAAACAAGATACAGTAAACACAAATAGTTTTCTAGGATTATTATTAAATACTAACCAAGCACTAAAGTTGTGCACCTTTTAATGGTAAAGTAAAATTGCACAATATTAATAGTTCTCCCTCTGGAGATAGCTTGTGGCTTCGTTAATTATAATATTAGTTAGTTAATTCTGGTTTTGTTTTGTTTTTGATGGCTCCATTTGCTGGTCAATGTGATTAGCAATTGATTGTTCAATATGTGCAAACTGAGCCAATTGGATGTATTCAATTAATCAAGGGCCTGTGAGATAAAACTGTCCAACTGTAGCATATTTTGTTAACACAGCCTATGAGTGAGAAAGGATCAGAAGGCCGTTCTGTTCTTTCCCACTGCCACTCTCACACAACTTAATATATAGGTAGTTCCAGATGGTCCAGCCTACCTGTCATCCTCCTGATGTTTTGAAACTACAGCTCCCAGAATTATCCATGCATGCTGGTTGGGATCCTGGGAGCTCCAGTTCCAGCACATACAAATGGTACCAAGTTAGATGAATTATTGTGAGAATCAAGTTCTAAAATTTTACTTGATCTCTCACTTATACATACAAGACCCCACCTAAATATTTCCAGTGGCATCTTCAGGCTTGTGAGTAGGGGGGTTATGGGGACTAGAAACAGAATTTAAATGTATACTTAAACTTAGTTTAAAAAAAAATCAAAACATGGAGCAACAAATCTGATTATGAATTGAAATGAGTTGTACTTAATATAAAACAAGGATAACATCAGTTTTAATAACAGGATGAGAGGAAGGAGAATTATCAATTTGTATATTGTTTTAACTTTCAGTTATCTGATAATGCTGAAGTTTGTTATTAGCTGGGATACAGATGATTTCTTGGAATCACTCTGAGTAATGTTATATAAGATAGCCAAAAAGAACATAATGTGAAGATTAGATAAGTGATAGTATAAAACAGTTATCCATTGACACGAGATACATAGATATAAAGAAAAACAGGAAGTAGTGCATGGGGGGGTTGCGCTTTGTGACATGCTGTCAAAAGTGACTAGAAATCAGTTTTTTAAAAGGAGTTTACGAGGCAGCATCAAATGATATTAAGAAGAAACCTAGGATGCTGTTCATAGTAATTAAATGTACTGTATGTCCTTTTGTCTTCATCAGAAGCAACCCCTTATAATCCATCAATATTTTATTTGGGTTGGAAGTTATGCTAAAAACAATTCAAAATTTAAAAATTTAATTCAAAATTACTGTTACCATTGCTGATGGACTGGGAAGACCATTATGACATAAGGCCTTCCATTGTGACATCATATCCCCTACTAACTGGCTCTCATGTCAAGTAGGTACTGTAATAGTGTTCACAGGAAAAAGAACCCAATTCTTGATCTCCTATTTTTATGACTCTTACCCATAGCTTTACTGAATGTGAATGAGAGAGTGTGTAAGAGAAAGAATCAATAATATACAAGAAGAAAGCAAGACAGTTAAACATGTAAGTAAGATTTCTCATTATCTAAGATGGTCTGAGGAACTTGTCACAACTTATTTTTAATTACTCTTTACCTTCCCCTCTCAGCTGAGTGGTTCTGGGAACCGCCTTTGTCAGCTTCAGCTGGCTGGGAATGGAAGGAGCCTCCCAATTAAAGGGCAAGGAAGGTGTTGAGGCCCTTCCCAATACAGCTATCCTGCACGCAATTTGTTATGCTGGCTGATGGGTGTCAGAATGCCTAGAGGATAGTGCCTAGAGAGGGCCATCCGACACATACCTCTCTCCCATCATAAGCATCCTCCATGTAGGGTTGGATGTTTTCCCCTCAATTTAACTCTTTCTCCTAAGAATGAACCTCTCAAAGAATCAATGCATGCTACAAAGAGTTCTGGATCATGTTCTAGGACAGTGCTTAACTTAAACAGTTCACTTTTCCACAAAACTCCAACATCCACCAATCAGAGCTGAATGAAAAATTATATCTTGAGGAGAACAATTATTAGCCTCCAAGTTTGTTCTGTGTACTAGAACTGAGCTCATACAAAAACTCATGTTCCTTCACACAACAATAATCTTTCTCTTTATTTCTCTTTCTGTTTGATTTAAAATATATATATAGTTATCACTGGGATGGAGAAAACCAATGGGTATTTTCTGCATTTGTTATAACTGCTTGTCTCTATGGCCATTTGATTGATGTACATCAAACATGTTCTCTTAAAAATATAGAGTGCTCATCTTAAAGCAATCGTCTGCTGCAATAAACTATCATGATGCAAAACTTACTGTTCATATGGATGTACTGTACATACGGGGATTTGTTACCATTTTTGACTGGTCGGTTTTCAGCAACACCCTGTCATGCTATGTGTTGTGGTTTTTCTCCTACATTAACATTTCAGAATAACAACACTAGTCTTATGAGTTACTATGCAAAGTAGCTTTATTTTTCCCTATGGCAGCAAATACATTATTTTAAACAATTTGGATACCTGTAATCTAAAGTTTGAAATGTACCTTGGGGGACAGTAACTTGCAGGACTGGAGTGGAAAGCTAGGTTTACTTGCTCAAAAAGTAGCAATTATAGGTAGTCCTCAACGTATGACCACAATTGGGACCAGAACTTCTGTTGCTAAGTGATATGGTTGTTAAGTGAGTTGTGCCTGATTTTACGACCATTTTTGCCATAGTTGTTAAGCAAATCACATAGTCATTAAACGAATCCAGCTTCCCCCATTGACTTTGCTTGTCAGAAACCCCCTGGGAAGTTTACAAATGATGATCGCGTGACCACAGGATACTACAACCGTCGTAAATGCATGACAGTTGCCAAGCGCCCAAAATTTGATCACATGACTGCGGGGACACTGCAACGATCATGTGAGGACTGGTTCTAAGTCACTTTTTTCAGCGCCATTGTAATTTCAAATAGTCATTAAACGAATGGTCGTAAGTTGAGAACTACCTGTATGGTCCTTAACTGGTGACCTTACTTAAGGAACCAGGATCCAATCTAGTTCCAGTAAATATGGTGGTCATATTCTTCTTGTCATGAAAGTCTACATGAAGTTCCATTTGACTTCATACTGGCTGACTCAGAAACTGTAAAATGTGTAAGGGAGAAATAATGGGAAAATCACATATGTGCTCTCCCTCAGATTTTTTTAATGGTTTTAAAATTATTTTTATCGTTTTTAATGTTTTTTGTTTGTTTTAAAGATCTTTTGGTTATTTTGTTGTATTGCTTTGTGTTTTTTAACTTTGTACGCCACTCAGTCACATATATAAGATAGGCAGCTATATAATTTACCAAATAAATATGAAGCTGATGTACAATCATGCAAGATAATGTATAATATTAATCCCAGAAGCAATACAGGGATACCATAAGGCAATTATTTGCCTTAGTTCTCTATCTGAAGGGCATCCTCTATGTGTCATGTCTGCTTTAAGGCTCAAGGGATAATAAAGACATTGATTACACACCTGTTGGAGAAATTTCCACACTGGACATCATTAATAATGGAGTCTAGCAACACCCATCCTTTTGAAGCCCAAACTGTATTTGGTACCAGAGGCCGCAA